TCACAGCGATCACGGTTACCAATCTCTGTACTTTCCTGCATTAGCGAAGAACATGCATACACCTACGCCGAGCTGCTTCGTTAGGCACGACAGGGACATGGGAGGGGAATCCGCCAATCAACTAAGCCATGAACACCAAGCACGTTTCTGGGCGTTTAGCAAGGGCAAGAAACTAGCACGGCTTTGATGAAGAGACGAACAGCCATCGTGGAGTGATTCGCTTCCCTGTACATGAGCATCCCAGAGTCCGGGCAGCCGGATATGGCGCGTCGTCGGTACGTAGTACCGGTATCAAAATTGATTGATTGACAATTTATTACGTCCGGTGGTGGAGCCAACAGGGCAACTGACACTTTTCGTACATGTGCCCTTCCAAAGCTTTGTCTTGATTTCCCAATGCCCATATAATGTTCGTTTCTTGCTTATCTACTGTCTCAGCGGGTTCTCGCAAGGGGATTAGTAACAAGTCAACTTGAAGCAAACCCTCCAAGTGTTCGGTTTCCTACTTTCGGCTGCGAAGCAGTCTTTTCTGTCGAAGCACGAGGTGTTGGTATGGTTAAGAGGGGTGAAGGGAGTTCAGTCTGTGTGAACTATCTCTCCTCGAGTCGGCCGGTGGCAATAGCTGCAATATGAAATGTCTAATGAAGAGTTCGACTGAAGATACGAAGCCCCCATTGGTGCCAGGACAGACATACATATGCATGTCTCTGCTGAAAGTAGAGTAGCAGATCACAGTTGGTTCAAGGCGTATGGGGCATTGCATGTTGTGGGACATGGTTGCTGCCTGATCCACAACACCATCTATGTGCACTATTCCGTACCCGATCCGGGCTGTGCAGATCTCTGAGACTTTCCCCGGAGATGTATGAATTTGAAAAGCCCCCTGCCCCTGATGTGCCTTGCTAGTAAGGGCTGCTCCAATGCCTCCAACTGGCAATGATGCGACATTGTCGGCAAGGTCGGGTTAGTGATTGTACTCTTGCATTGTATTCTTGCATTAAGCTGCCTTGCTTTAAACGTCATTGTGAATCTGGGCCCATCAGGGCTGGCCAGAGACTTAAGACCACCGTAACACTTGCTGCTGGGACTATATATTGGTTTCAATATCCACCATGACGCGCCATGTTAGCAGCACACTACTGTCCGTTTATTGATTGACATGGCAAACGAAATGGACCGAAATACGTTTGACCCCGCCTCCCACATAGTCTTTAATGCTCCTGAGCACCTTATTTACACACTGAGAAGATTTTTAACGGCGAACAACGTTATCGTGGCTGGGAAGGCCAAATTATCAATGCATAGGGCAGATGGATTGAACCTTATGACTCATAGTATTGTCTTGGAAGCTGAAGTCCTGTCAACAAGGTAAAGCCTAAGGCAATACAGTCCAGATCTAGACCTGTTAAAGAGGTAACAAATGAGCGCTAACTCCGGAGCACTGTGTTATGAACCCAAAGCGATTCCTCGTACACCCAAACATTGGTTCACGACAATAGCATGGGGGAAATGGTTACTGGTAACGGGACATGTAAGTCCTCGGCATCTAAATCGGAACTGAGAAATGGACTGACTGATCTGGTCAGTGGTCGACGATGAGGCTCAATCATCTCGTATAATAATCGCCTCTAGCTCCCCCGTCCTTAACGAAAACACCCTTGGGAGGGGAAATCCGAGTCGTGTCGACTCTTGGGGGGATAACTACGTAGACTCGGTTGCTACATCATCGTTTTGTTCAGGAGACCGATCTGAAGAAGGAATGTATGGGGTTTGGGCAGGAGATTTTGCTGTCTCTGACAATACATCGTCCTCGATGGATCTGGCTACAGCCAATCTCGGGAACCCTGTTCAGTAAGTCGAAATAACCCCAGCCTTGACTGGTCCTCGGCATATGAATGCAAGCATGAACAGACATCCGTTGAAGAATTCTGATACAAACATTATCAATGTCCAGACAGGTAACCAGGCAAAGATGCCAAGCGCTCTGTTCGCCCAGCCCAGGCTCAGCTTCATCGACAAACAGCAGTCTTATAACTAGCGGAACCAAAATACTCGTGACATCAGCCGCCCGGTCAATTTTCCGGACCAATTTCCTGGAGTATTTAGAGGCAGAGCTTCCACGTTGGGCCAACGGAGGGCTATTGCGTGTCAGCAACTTTGTGGTAGAACCAGATGCTGTCTATTACGACTTGCAAGTTGCTTACTCCACCGTTTGCTTGCTCCATACTCACATGGAAGACGACGCTATCCGCACCCGCATAGCCCTAGTCAAACTGCATGAGGAATATCTACGAGCATTTGAGACATGGCAGTCGCGGCGAGACAAGCGTGGCATCGGTCGAGGAAACGCAACCTGCATCATCGACCATATATTACAGAAGATTCATCACGATTGGCCTGCGCGAAATAAGATACAGCGAAAAGCTTTGCGGACCCAGTTTCATAGCCGTAAGCGCTACGGCAAGCGATGGGCAAAGCTAGCAGATGAGCTCGGTAAAGGCATATTATTACTCTGCTCCCCAAAGGTGGAAAAAATGGTGTAAGTGAAGCATCGAGCCTATTTCCTCGTTCTCAAGAGTGCATACCAAACGCACACAAGCTTACGCATGTTCTACAGGTGTAATACCACAGTCACATTCACAATGCTTGGGAGTCTCACTAAGCAGGTGCGCTCTCACGGAGGGGACGACATGTTTCTGCTTGACAGCATGAGGCCGCTGGCAGAAAGCCTATACCGTAGCGACATCTGCAACGCTCGTGACGTGGAAATTCTGCTCGAGGAAGTCCGACGTCTGAAGTCAACCGCTGGCACCACATAACGCCTGCACCGGACTGTGTTATAATAGAAAACCAAGTGCACAGTAGATCGACATGTTCCTCTAACTGAGGCACACAAGAACGACGAATCAGAGAGTGAAAAGCGGGGGCGAGTGATTCAATTGTGGATATCTGAAGAGCCGTGGTCGTAACGAAGCCCTTATACGAGTATCGGTAGGGCGCAGTGGCTAGCCCAGCCACTGCAAGCAATCAACCAGCCACCCCACTGCGGCCCTAGTCCATAGGCGCGTGACAGGCGCGTGACAGTGGCCGAGGCTGTCTGCGGGCATACCCAGTTACGCAAAGATTTGATTATTTATATATGTAATTTCGCACATGGATGATATTCAGCAGGGGAAGTTGCTTCAATCAGGATAATCAAAGAACAGACCCAATTTATACTTCAAATGCATATTAGGCGTTATTCAGCCGTAGGCTGACTTAATATTAATCGGATAAGTTTTCCCAATATAAGGGTTTGGTCTAGATAGGGATTATAAGTTTTTCTAGATCTAATTAGTTTAGATTTTATATGGTCGAATGCAAAACGAGGCGCAACTAGACAACGCTGCCTAAAAAGTAGAGCCTAATTATCTAGCAGCCCCTAAGTTATAGAGCAGCCCCTAAGTTATTCTATTTTGCTTCGTATAGGAACTTTATTTACGCAACACCTCTTTACGTCTTTTATAATAAAATAAGTTCTAGGTCTACTTATTTACGAGTTTAAGATTATTTAACTTCTATTATCTATACCCGCTATAGCGAGAAGAAACCGACGGCGACTTCGTATATAAACGAAAATCTGCTAGTAATACTAAGAACTGCCTAGATTGCCGTAACTAGCATAACTCTTATATCGGCTCCGTCTCCTATACCGTAAGATATTTACCGCTAACTAAGTAAAGCGTTCTAGATCTAGGCATACGATCTAAATATTAAAGAACCTCGCTATCGGCCCTTCCTTAAATAATAGTTCGTCCTACTCTAAAGAGAAGAGAAGAAGATGCTAGTCTATCGCCTTTAAATAATATATCTAGAACCTAGCCTATATCGTCGGACGGTCGGAGAGGGTACGGTAATATTATATAGCGAGGATATTATTTAAATCCTCGATTAGCTAACCGCGTATATAGCTAGAGACGCTATTATCGCTAACCTAACGAAGCTTAGGGCTCTTCTAAATAATAGCTCCCTTACCTCCTATATAGCGAACGACCTATCTAATAGGGAAGGACTCGTAAGATAGCCCTTCTATAGCCGGGGCGAGGGTTAAGATCGCTACTATCTAGCGCGACTATTGTTTAGGACGCCGTATAGGGGAAACTATATTACTAACGTATATAATATCTTAGCTAGGCAACTTTTAAGGTTCGGAGGCTACTAGAGAAGGTATCTACCGAGGCGACTATACTATCTATCCTAGGAGTCCTAGAAGCTCCTCTCTAGCTATATATAGGCGAAGCTAGATAATTAGGAGCTTACTAGGTTCGTTAATTCCCTATAAGTATACGCCACGAAAGATAGGGTAAATAAATATAACTACTACCGACCGCCTAGGCCGGCCTATTATCCTAGGTAATAGCTAAGATCGTTAGCTCTAGCGCTACTGCTGCTCCTAACGATAAGGCAGGCAACCTTGCGAAATAGATTCCCGTATATATTGGCGCCCGTCTAATGCTAACGTCTAACCTTTAGCAGCTAGTCGGCCTCTATAATAACGCACGTGGTAACGTTATAGTATACGATATCGCCTAGGCGCCTAGAGCTAACCCTATTTAAGACCCTCCCTACGTAATTATAATAGAGTTTAATAAGTACCCGGGGCCGATATTCCTAACCACCGCAAATAGCAGGAAGATTGTCCCGATTCGGCCGGTAGATAGGGACTTCCTCGTCGGGCCCACGCTGTGCCCTCGTACGTAGTTTCCCCTGATCGTATGCTACGCTATTATAGTTCACAAGTCGCAGAGCATCACCGGAGACATGATCGTGACGGATCTGTCCTGCCGTGACTTTTAGACCGGATTAAACTAATTGTTCGGTAACTGCTTGACTAGTAGCCAGACTCGCAGCCTTCGGCTGATTATACGCCTTGCACTATAGCCCTAAAGACTAAAGTGCAAGGTGTGGCGCAGTATTTTTATTAGAGAGGCTTATAAATAACAATACGCGCCCACGACTATTTAGATAATGCTTTCGCAGATCTCATTCATTAACCTATCGGCATTTTTTGCGTTGAAGGTGCTCTCTAGGCTTCTGCAAAGTAGCTCGCCACAATCTTCGTTTCTAATATAGTCAGCTGAGTCGACATTAGGGTTAAGCTCTGCCTGCGAAAAGCCGTTTCCGAGATAGGCGAAGCGATTGGTCCTATAACCTATGTCAAAGTCCTCGTACCGCGGTGCCACAGTTGCCTCCAGGTAATGCGGGGTACTTCCAGGCCAGAGAGCCGTAACTTTGCCCGTTTTGTGGTTCCTATACCAGGACGAGCAGTTGTTACCCCATACCGAGGTCTTCATGAAGGCGTCTTTCTGCTCCATGAAATCGTTGACTGCTGCAACCTTGGGCTCAATAGAAGCAAGGTCCTCTTTCTGCCAGCGGTTCATGAAATGCGCCATGTACTGGCCCTGTGCTTCAATTGCGCACATCAAAGGCCCATTGCCATTAGGACTGTTGGGCCCCAAGAACATGAAGTAGTTGGGGTAGCCATGGACGGCCATGCCCAAGTAACTTCGTGGCTCTTCCGTCCATTCATCCGCCAGCGACTTGCCATCACGCCCGATCAGAGGAAACTGCGGCTGAAAAGTTGTGTCAAACCCAGTGGCGCATATTAGAATGTCAATTGGCCAATTGCGACCGTCATCCGTAACACAGGCGTCGGCCGTAATCTCAGTGACATTGCCGAACACGACTGATACGTTGGGTTCGGACAGACTCTCCATATACCCGATGCCCGGCTAATTGAGGTGAAAACCCGTTAGCCATAGGAGACTAATCAATAAAGCAATGGGTTACCCACTGTGATTCTCCGGCAACCCAGTCCGAAATTTGGAATTAATCTATCACTTAGTTCTTTGTCTCCCAATTTCTGGATCATTTGGTCCTTCATATATGCTGAGGCGGCCTTTTGGGTAGCAGAATTTTTTACGAAAAGGGGGAAGACGCCGGCTAATGCTCTCTCGGTTGCCCTGCGCATCTGGAGCCACATTGTAGGATCGTCGCGGAAACTTTGCTTCTCTTCGTCTTTGTATATATAGAATTGAGGTAATTTTAATGAGCAGATCCAAAAAGGGTTGCGAATAAAGGTTGTTAGATGGTAGACCTCACTGGCGGTCATCGGTTAGCCAAGCGTTCGATTTACAGATCCGATAGACTACGGCACAGAGCAGGTTGTACCTACGACTGTAACTTCTGTAGCAGTTGAATTCCTGAGGACCTAGATGATTTGAGCGACAGGTTCCCACCGTATTCGTTAAAGAACTCGTACCCGTTGCCAATTAGACCTATGTGCTTGCCCTTGAGATCAATGGAGCCATCCCAGGCAGCGCTGTGGAGCTTTGGACCTTTGAAATTTTCGACACCCAGGATCGAAGGCCAACGCCACTTGTTCAAATAGCCGCCTGCATTGATTAAAAAATCACAGCGACTGCGAAAAACGGTACCATCTGGACCCCTGATGTCCACAACCCACTCTGAAGTGGTCCCGTCCCATCTGGCACCGATAATTTCGTGGTTGCAGGAGATGTATTCGCGCAGCTTATACTTGTTGACAAAATCACAGAAGTATTTCAAGATCTCCGGCGCGGGAGCGAACAAGGAGGACCAGTCCCATTTAGGTTCAAAGGTGTAGGTATAAACATGACTGATATGTTGTCGGTCAGCATCGTCGTGAAATACTGTACGAATAGATTCTCATACGCTGGAACATCGCACACGCCTACACAACCATGAATAGTCAGGAGCGTATTCATGCGACTGTCAGATGGAGCACTCACAACCAGGATAGCGGTTCTCAAACCAAGTCCCTCCAACTTCCGGGTTCTTCTCATAAATATTGAGGGTGAAATCAGTGAAATAGTATTTCAGCTTATACGCGAGGTATAAACCTGAAGCACCTGCTCCGATGCAGATAACTCGCAGGTGCCTATTGGCATGTAAGGGGGCATCTCGGCACTTGAACGAACTGGAAGGGCCATGGCCATTCGTGTCTTGGGGATGTTGCTGGCGCGAGTTCGATTTGTCGGCACCGGACAGAGGCATTGTTAATTCTCGGAATAATACTGAGTCTGTGCGAGTCTGACTTGGTCATAGACGGGAGTATCAAACGGAGGAGCAGTCCATATAAAGCCCATAAAAATGGGTGGATTCCTACTTTATTAGTGGTTCCTATGGTGGTTCCTTTATTGGTTGGGAACTAAGCAGACCATTCAGACGCCAAGGATGCTTTAGCCACCCTCTAATGGGCACACCCTTTCTACACGGCCTGTAACAATCCCCTATATGTTTTACGTAGTATAGTACTATGAAGCTGGTAAAATACTGCTACACCATGCAAAATAGGGGTACCCCCAATGGGGGTGTTACTAACGCGTATTATAAGTCTTTTCTCTGCTCAGAAAAGTACTGTTTGCAATAGTGATTGGCTATTCTGTATGAAACCATATGCCTTACAATATCTCTTAATTCTATTACATAAAAAGGTAAAAGAACCTGCTCAGACAGGTTATAAAACACAATATAATTTGTATACATTCGTTCGATATTATATCCGTTGATCATGGGGTGAAGAGGCCCAGCGCTAGGGTTGTGGATTTTTGATACAAAACCTTTAATGTGGAGTGCTCACCTTAACTCTCTAGTGTAGTGGTTATCTATTATATTCTAGAGTCAGCTCTGGGCTGTACTTTTCAAACCGTCCCTTGTCTAGTGGACTAGTAGAAAGTACGCGCCCTGCGGTTTTGCTATCCGCCACATCTTGCCTGAATTGGCCTAATTCGAGATGCTATATGGCAGCCTACACGCATGAAGTAGGGGTCGCTAATATGCCTGAACTTCACGATCTTCGTTTTTCGTCAATTACTTCGCTAGTATCGCGGCGGAAGATACAACACCAAGCTGCAAGGCTTCGGCGCGGGGCATTTAGTTGAAAGATTTCAACTAAATCCCCCCCCTCCCTTACGTAGCGCCATGTATGTCTAATTATAGAGTCTGGGAGTAGTGCAAGATACTTCTCGGTTCTAATGTTTCCCCTCCTGCGGTTGGGCTCCACCAGGAAGCCGGCGTTCTACTCGACCACACGACCGCACGTAATTGCTGACAGCGCAAAATGCCTGGCGCCTAAGGTCACTAGTGCTTCTCAATCGACGAGGCAGGAGTTTCCCATCGTGTACACTTCCTGTATTTAATGGACCGGGACTTCGTAAGCCCTGCACTCAGTTTGCTTATGCTACTTTATTTTCGAAGCAGGCATTACATTGGCTTCCCGTGAAAGCCGTTCATTTTCTATCTGACATTCCTGCTTCGTGAAGAAGCACTGTCTGGCCTGGCGAAGTCGGTTCATTTTCACCAACAGCAAAGCTTGCGTATTCCGCCAAGCAGACATGACCAAACCAAATCCGTTCAACCACTCAAACCAACCCTACGGAAACCGACTGCTTGTTAGTCTTATCGATGAAATCGCCGCCGCAGAGCCTTCGCGTGCCTTTGTGTTTGTCCCGCGTTGCTCTGAACCTGACAAGGGATGGAAACCCATCACCTTCAAGGAGATCTCAAATGCCGTCAACTATGTGGCCAACGATATCCGCAGCAAGCTCAAGAATCATCCGTTACAAGATCATCTCCCCACAGTGGCATACATAGGTCCAAGCGATGTCCGTTACGCCATCATCATGCTGGCCTGCGTCAAGGCTGGCTGTCAAGCTCTGTTCATTTCACCACGCAACAGCGTAGAGATCCAAATTTCGCTATTCGAGAGGACAGCCTGCTCCCACCTATGGTACGCCGAGTCGTTCCACCAGGTGGTCCTGACTTGGCTCCGCCACCGCCCTATGCAGATCACCATGGCCCCCAGTCCCGAAACCTGGATTCGTTCCATCGCGACCTGGCTACCGTACAACAGGTCCTACGAGAAAGCCAAGTGGGATCCACTTGTAGTTCTACACACGAGCGGCTCGACTGGCATCCCAAAGCCTGTCATCATGCGGCAGGCAGTCATTGGTATTGCGGATGGGTTTCGGGATCTGCCTAGGCGCCAGGGGGCTCATTTTTTCATCAAGGAGTGGGCTGATCGTTCCAAGAAGATCTTCATGTCCATGCCCATGTTTCACGCCGCTGGCATTGTCTGCTTGATGTTGTTAGCTGTCTGCTACGACGTTCCAGTGGCTTTGCCTATAGCAGAGAGACCGCTAACCCCCGGGTCGGTTCTGCAGGGCCTGGCCCATGCCGATGTTGACGCAGCGTTTCTACCCCCATCCATCCTAGAAGCTCTGAGTATGCAGGAAAACGAAATACAGCATCTGGCCAAGCTGAATTTTGTAGCTTTTGGAGGAGGTTCGTTTTTGCATCTATACTATTGAAGCCTACGAAGGCCACTGACGGTGTCATCTAGCTACTCTCTCTCCAGCAGCAGGCGAGAAACTCGTCGGACGAGGCGTGATACTCAGTAACGTGATATCGTCGACTGAGTAAGTCGCAGGACCGGCGGTTGTTACGAATCTGGGCTTTAGAGGTCGTACTGACCTGACGGCTGTGCTTTAGGACCCTCCCATTCCCACTGTACTTTCAACACTGTCCTCAGCTTTGGCAATATTTCGTCATAGACAGCAGAGTTCTAGGGGCCGAATGGCGCGCAGCAAGCTCGGAGGACGGTCTCTGCGAACTCGTTTTGCACCGCAAAAATTCTCACGGTCCAACCGATCAACCAGTCTTCTACACGTTCCCAGATTTGTCAGAGTGGCCAACAGGCGACCTCTTCAAGGCTCACCCGACCCTCCCCGATCATTGGACCTATTGCGGTCGCTGCGACGGCATCATTGTCCTCTCCAACGGTGAGAAGATAAATCCGGTGAATGTTGAAGATATTATCGTCGGCCACCCCGCCGTTAATGGGGCCTTGGTTGTCGGACAGGGTAGGTTCCAGCCAGCCATCATCTTGGAGCCGGTCGCCCCACCGGTCGATGATACCGCGACAGAAACACTCATTGATGACATATGGCCCGTGATCGAGACGGCAAATAAGTCAAATGTTCGTATCGTACGGCAGCTAGTTGCGATATCGGATCCCAACATGCCGTTTCTAAGATCCGGCAAGGGCTCTGTCCAACGAGGTCCCACAACTAGAGCATATGATAAGTATATCGATTCCATTTACAAAAATGCGGAGAGCTACAATGTCAGCAAAATATCCGACACGCTTGATATGACCAGCAAAGCAGCATTATGCCAATCGGTCATTCGCCTCTTCCAAAACAGGATGGGCCTGCGGAATCTTGGCGCCAATACTGATTTCTTCGATGCTGGATTCGACTCTCTGCAAGCCACTATTGCCTCAAACTTGCTGAACGCAAGCCTTGCGGCATCTGGCGTGCAAATTGACGGCGGTGCGGTGGCTTCTCAAACCATATATGCACATTCATCACCAAAACGGTTATCCGCTCACCTTCATTCAGCCAACCTGGCAGCTGGAGCTCCATGGAAGCATTATGAAACACAAGAAACCAAAGCCCTAGAAGACATGGTATCAAAGTACACGAGAGGTCTACCGATGCCCAGTATTTGCACTCACAAAGAACAACCCTCTTTCACTTGTCAGACTATTTTATTGACGGGTTCAACTGGCTCGCTTGGATCCTATCTGCTCGACCGGCTCTGCCCCACTCCTCAAGTGCGACGAGTTGTTGCTCTCAACCGTGGCGATGACGGGGGCAGGTCCCGCCAACTCTTGAACAACGCTGCCCGTGGTTTGGGCACCGATTTTTCCAAAGTCGAGTTTCTGCGCGCAGATCTCTCGCTTCCAGATCTCGGCCTAGGCTCTGTTCAGTACACCAAGCTACTTACAATTGTGGATCGCATCGTTCATGTCGCATGGCCCGTTCATTTCCACGTGAGCATCGACGGCTTTGAGCCGCATATTCGCGGAGTGCGACATTTGGTCAATTTCGCCAGCGCAGCTACGAAAAAAGTTCCTATACTTTTTGTATCAAGCACCAGCACCGTCAAAGGGTGGCGTGTGAAGAAACCAGTGCCGGAGGAGGGTTGCGACGTGTCGTTAGCCCAGATGGGGTACGGCCGCTCTAAGCTCGCTGGTAGCTTGATACTGGATGCAGCGGCGGCACAATGCGATGTGCCCAGTGCCTCGGTGCGTGTCGGGCAGATTGCAGGGCCGAGAATCCAGAAAGGCATATGGAATAAGCACGAGTTTCTACCGAGTTTAATTGCCAGCTCATTATATCTTGGAGTCCTGCCGCAGCACCTCGGCGTCCAAGAAACAATAGACTGGCTGCCTGTGGAGGACGTGGCCGAGTTGATACTGGACATCGCTGGGGTAACGACCGCCATCCCAGTATCTGAAATCTCAGGCTACTTCCATTGCGTCAACCCTACCAAGACACAATGGGAGAAGCTAGCACTTGTCATAAAGGCATATTACGGCGTGAGGATCAGGGAGCTCGTCAGCATGGAAGGATGGATTACGACCCTGGAAAAGAGCACCACGTCCACCACAGATGCGGATAAAAACCCTGCAATTAAGCTCCTAGATGTCTATAAAGACATACAGAGGAGCTTTGTGAACGGAGATGGGCATCTGGAACTTGACATGACGAGAAGCGCGTCTAGAAGTCCCAATGTGGAGAAACTCGGGCCGATAACCCCAGATTTGATGAGGAACTGGTGTCAACAATGGGGTTTTAATGTGTAACTGTGCAATGCAATGTAATTTGTTCCGCTCAGAGGTTCCGCTCAGAGGCCTTGCCCTTATACCATGCTTACCCCCCCCTTCTGCTCACCCCCCCCTATGCTCCGCAAAAATGTTGCCGCTCCATACAAATTGGACCAACTTCACTTATACAGAATCTACTCAATTTTAAATCTTTTGACGAACAGTCACCTGTAGCGGGTATAGAAATGACTGAACTTACATTTTTGTGAGGTCAACTGATGACCACGGGTGTCGTGGCCCGTGACACCCCGGCATCGCAAAATGGCAATTTCGACCCCTAATCTCCTCCTGCCTCCTTTGCTTTCCACTCTTGCTCATCCTCCACCACCTGCCACAAATGGCTCCAAAAAGGCCTCGTTCGATCTATGTGATGGCTGAGGCAATCCTCGATGTCACTGATAACGGTCTGTCGCAGCGCCAGGCTTCTCAGAAATGGGGGATACCCCAGAGTACTATTTCCAGCAGAATGCGAGGTCAGTCGGCATTAACCGACCAGGAACAGCCTGGAAAACTCTTATCCAGAGACCAGGAGGCCAACTTGGTTGCATGGACTCTTCGCCAAGAATCTCTGGGTTACGCTCCGTCCCAGAGTCAAATCCGCGCCTGCGTTGTTGCCGTTCTGAAACAGCAAGGCTGCGACTCAAGATTGGGACGTCATTGGGTAGAAAAGTTCATTCAACGGATGGCTGGTGATTCCAACTACTGGCTGGATTGACTATTCCAGAGAAAAAGGACGGGGCTGGGAGGCATTTCATGGTTATAAAGGATAGCCCCTGAAGGAGCTCGTCAGAGATCAACCAATCGGATCATTGGCCCCCGTTCTTCTCTCTGTTTCGTTGTGTGTGCGCGCCTGACAGCGCCCGTGTATCTGATGCAATGGATGAGATTCAGGACATCATGGAAGACACAAAGGCAAGCTGCATAGGCATATTGAAGGATTAGATGCTCTTGGCTTTCGTCAATAAAGAAGTTGAGGAAAGTAATTTGTCTATTAATACCCAGGCCGGCACTTGCGGTAGGCTATTGTCCTCGGATCTCTTGGTCTGTCTTTCATCTTCTTCAATAACTTCCTGTTGCAGAAGCTGCAGCTGAGTTGCCCCTGCTTTTCTGCCCATTTAGGCGCATTGCCAATCTCAATATGGTAAGACGAGGGTTGAAAACGGTTCCTTTTGCGTATGCCATATATTTACAGCACTTAGACTTTACTCAAGGGAGTCAAGGCAGGAGCTTATTCGTATTGGAAACAGACCCCACCATGCAAACCACGACTCTCGCCCTCAGAGAGTCTCTTTTTCAGTGTTAAGTTGATCACCATTTGCAAGTGAAAATGCTACCCGGCCCTGGGCCATGATTGTTAACCTTGAGCTAATAGTTCTGTTAGTTCCTCTCATGCTTGTTTTCTACCTCGCGCGGTTTGGTTACTACGCCCTCTGTAATCGCCTACCAATGCGACTCTACCTTCTATGCGCTACTATCCGCGTTCTCTTTATGTCTTTTTCGTGCCGCGAGATACAGCATCTCTTGCCCACAACTAGGCAGGCTTATGACTCATGGATTAGACGTAAGGCCAGGTGCAGCAACGACCCAGCTTTACGGGAAAGACTTGTCCAAGACATCCACCCACTGCACTCGGTCGACTCTGCCATTCTCTGGGTTGGGAATCATCGCACAGCCAGGAAATTTGTGCTCTTTTTTCATGGCGGGGGCTTCGTTGGGCCTGCAATATCCGGCCATTTTGAATGGTGCTGGAATGCATACATCCAGCCAGGGATTAAAGCGGAAGTGGAAGTCGCCGTCGCCGTTCTGCAGTACTCGCTGTGCCCTGGCGCGAGATTCCCAACCCAACTTTGTCAAGCTGCTGCAGCTCTGGGTTACTTGCTAGATACCGGTGTGCGTCCCGCTGACATCATCATCGGCGGAGACTCCGCGGGCGCCAACTTAACGATGCAGCTGTTAGGCCATCTTCTTCATCCCCATAAGGACGCTCGCCGCATCGACTTAACAGTACCACTGGCTGCCGCGTTTCTCGTGTCACCCTGGCTAAGCTGCAATACAGCTACTAAGTCATGCCTCGAAAATGACGGCAATGATATGCTTTCAAGAGGAAGCATCGATAAACTCACCCTAGAGTTTTTCGGCGAACAGAATGCTTCCAAAACGTCAGCCATGGAAGGATATGCTTGGGCTCTTGTGCTTGATGATAAGGACGCTTGGCTCGAAGGGGTAGATATGCTTGTGTCGAATATGTACGTGACAATTGGGAGGAGGGAAGTCCTGGCTGACGATGGAATCGCCCTGGTGGAAAGGCTCAGACTCATAAATATGTCGTGCCGCATACAACTTGACGAGGCGGACCAGGAGGCACACGACTTCATCCTTCTGGAAGGTCTTATGGAAGAGGTGGGGGATGCGACAAACAGAATGAAGGACTGGTTCAAATCCATAATTCTTGCTGGCCAATAACGGGCATAGTCTATCTATATCGGGCATATGATTTGCCCCAATAGGAGACGGGTCTCCTCTGGGGACTGTCAATGCGTTGAGGAACGAAACTATAGTACGGCAGCTGTTGAGGCAGCGACAGGAAGATGATGAACTGGCTTGCCCCTTGTAGGCGGACGAGCCGGGGAATCTACCTAGACCAACGGGTGGCTGCGCTGAAATGAGCTGCATTGCATACTGGATAGTGAATTATACTGCCAGTCGCCTAGAGAAAGTGTCGCATCCGCCCGTGGAGGGGCGCCCGCAGCAAGTCTTTATAGGAAATTTCCTCCGAGCGTAACAAATAACCTTAATTTAATATTTTCTTTCTATGCCCCCTCTCTCGGTAATTACCTAAGAGGGAAATAGGTTCATACATTTCTTCCAGGATCATCCTCGTTAAAGGTAATACGGGATATAATCTCAAATTATTTCCCTAAGTGGTTAATACAGCTCATCATCGCCGCTAACTCGTTGGTGTTACGACTCGACAAGGAATTTTTGAGAGACACCAAGCCCAAAGGACTTCGTCGCTGCCAAACAAAGCTTCCTCTTGTCAGAACGGTGGTTCTGCGGCTCGGGCCTAATGAGGAAATAGGTAGGTATGCACGATGGATCAAGGCTTAATGCAGCAGCTTATGTGCAGCTGCAAAAGAGGTTATATTTTTTGTGATCATGTGTGTTCTTGAGGCCTCCTCAGAAGCCTCATTTCTCCTAGGTAAAGGGGGGAAATTGGCTACCAGATGTATCTGGATGGCGCACGTGATTATGCACGTGATCCAATATGTGTTTCCGACCCGTACTAGTCACGTTAAGCGATGCGCGTTTGCTCGTTACTTCTGGAGGCCCACTGTACACACATCAGACTTTTCCTAGCCCTTTAATTGACCCCCCCTTTTCCTGCCTCGGCCGCTGCTATGCAAGACGCAAAGATATAGACAATTCGATATAATGACGCATACCAGTACATATAATAGCCGGCTCCGGCGAATTGTAATATAAGCCATACTTCTCAAGCGAGTCAAGCCTAAGAAGCTTACTTGAGGGCAATGCAACAGTGGCTCCTGCACGGGGTTTAAGGTCCGCCATTCTCAGACTGGAAAAGGTAGAAAGTGGAAGAAAATTACTCGGATGGATATTCCCTCACTACCAACATTAGTCTCCCCTGCTTCACCTGCTCTGCGGAAGAAATCAAGATCCATGGATCCCTCAACAGCTACTAGCACCCAGCGGGAGATGAAGATTCTTTCTTTAGGGCTGCCCCGTACCGGTTCAGCCTCGATTGCCGCAGCTTTGACTATTTTGGGCTATAAAGACGTTTACCACGGTCTCCAGTTATTTAGCAGCCCAAAAGACAGACATATTCTCAGTCGTGCTGCTGATGCAACATTTCCGGTGTTACCTACCTACACGGGAAAAGGCTTTAAGCGGCGGGACTGGGAGGAGATATTCGGTTCATGTGAGGCCAGCACTGACGTCGCAGCCCTGTTCGGTCCCCAACTCGTCAAAGAATACCCCAATGCCAAAGTTATCCTCGTCATTAGGGAATTTAACGAATGGTACAAGAGTATAGATGAAGCTGTCTTCCAGCAGATGTGGAACTTCGGA